GTGGGGGGGGGTCTGAATTGAGCGATCAATTATTAGACCCGGACGTCCCAACACTTGCTTCGCAAGACAAACTCAAGGTATCCCCTAAAGGGCTACCTTTCGTGAAATTTCAATAAATGATGCACTATTCGGCGTCCATTGCATCACTCGCATCACCAGACCCCATTTTCACTGCTTTTCTGACCCTCGCTTTGGAGCGCTCTCCCCCAGCAAGCTCCGGGTTCACCCTTTGAAATGGTGCCTTTTCGCGGCCTACCCCCCCGCACACCCCCTTAACTCGCTCTAAGAGCTCAAGCCTAGCCTATCGGCTGGCTTTCGTAATAAACTATAAATATGTTAAGTGAACATATTTCCTCCCCCTATTATAGTAACCAAGCCCACCCTCTGCCCCCTTTGTTTTCCATCTCTTTCATCCTGCAATCCTCTTCCATTTCCTCTTCCTTTCTAAATCACACTAACCAAAGACAATGTCACCAAATGGTTTCCCAACACAGTCCACCGTTCCCCATTCAATTTCCTTCTCACCCAAATCTTCCCAATCAAACCACTGATTGGACACTTGCTCGTACGACGCTCATGGTTCACACAGAATCCCATCAACCATCATCAGGTCCAGGTCATCACCTCATCATCCAGGTCATCACCTCATCATCCATCATCGGGTCATCACCTTTATTAGCGGGATTTGGTCTCCAATACCTGCAATCTCAAACTTTGTTGACCTTGAAAGGGGGTTGATTAATCCGACACCGACACTAATTTGCCATAATTGTATGCACTGTACATCTTACATCTGTTTTATAGCAAATCTTGAAGTTTTGTAGGTAATTTCCTGAGTGGTGAGGAATGGCATTGAGTTCCATTCATTGTTTTGTTATTGGCAAAGGGTAAGGCTAAGTCAGAGATTTGTTGCTTCTCTTTCAAGATGTCAAAAGAAAAACATATTTTGAAGAATGATTACTGTGCATGTCTTCAACCTTCACCATTCGATCCAATTCTTTTAGCAAGTTTCCCGTTGGTCAAAGTCTTCCAAAGGAAGGCATATTGCACCACTTGCATGAAGGCCTCAAGAGCATCTGATTGCTTGACAACGTGCAGTTCTACCAACCATCCGCCATGATCCAGGTATATAGTGGTGTTGAATCCATTTTGGCCTGCTAGGTCCAGTACTGGGTCCATGTCTCCTTCAAGTATAACATTGTGCAGCCTGGACACCCGCTGCTTGTTGTCTGCAGCTCCACCATGCCCACCCTCAATGTTCTCATAGTAGAAGGTACTATCCTGCCATGGGGTTGATAGACCTTCGATCAGGACGCGGCTTCTTCCACTGAAACAAAGCAGCATGAACCAGAACCACTAATTATGTTGGATGATGTTGGAGAGCATGATTAAAAAACAAGAAAGCTGGACACCTACATACAGAACACTGCCTGGTGCTAGAGCGCTGAGAAAAGGATACCAATAGACCCCACGGTAAATCCCTGCTTGCACAGGTCAGTCAGTGCGAGGCATATCTCACTATATTCTCAGTATTTCTCAGTTCAATTCACCACAGCAAGCCCTTCACAAACATGTCCTTGGCCGTGCCATGCCCTAAGAGCTTGGCAACCATCTTCCGGGCATGGCCTGGAGCTCAAAGGGGCTAGTGACACCTCTTGGCACATCGGAACAAACATGAGCCAGTTGACGAGCCATCCCTGTTCAGTACGGATGTTTTGAGCAGCATGCTGTGGAATTGAAAGGTCGTTTTCCCATGCGCAACCGTGCATTCGGGGTGGAATTGACATGGAACAGAAGTGTAAAAACCTTGCACATACATCTGGTAGGTGGCTTCGACTTTGTCTGGCGGAACCTACAATCCAAATCACCAACAGTAGGAACAACCCGGACCTTGCAAAACAGGGAAGACCAACAAGGAAGGCCAATGTTCAAAGGTTCGAACAATTAGTTGGGAACTGGTTTCATTACCCTCAACGCTCCAATATTTAAAAGTATCTGGGTTTATCGTTTACCTTCTGCTTGGTATGCCCATGTTATGCGCATGACGGTCAACCACTCCCCAGGTCAACCGGTGCCGTGGTGTCAAACCACCGTGCTCTCCGGTCTTCGACCCCCGGACGTCCTGGGTGGACGCGATCGTCTTTCGTGGAGGTCACGAACCTCGGAGCGCCGCTGGCGCCGATGCGATGGCCCACGCTGGTGGGGTCTTGCAAGCGTCATGCACAGTTTTGGGGAGGGGCGCCGCTCAAAAAGACCTTTGAGCACCATTTGATACCTTTGAGCACTGTGTAGTGTAATTTGGTCAGGTGCCCATCGGCGCTCTGCTCTTGGCTTAGAGCCCAGGACGGCTCCGATGCTGCAGGACCTGACTAACCACTGATTGGGTATGGACCGGTATGGATGTATATAATAGGCATAGTTGTGTTTCTTTCATTTCTTTGGCGAGTACTTGTGCGCGGTATCTTGTCCGTAGTATCTGGAAAAAAACAACAGTACTCTCGATTCTGATCAACGTCTACTTGTTTTGATCCAAATCTGTTCGTTGGACCAGTTTGATCCAAACTAGGCCTCGAAAGAGAAACACCCGCCGAGAGGCAAGGCTGCGGGATAGGTGGCATCTTCCTTCACAAGATGATAAGGTGAGTACCTTGGATGCAAGCGATGCACCAGTCTTCACTTCCTATTGAAGAACAGGAACGCGACATGCCACGAGATAATTCAATCATCTCGTGCCAAGCTCTTTGACCTTTCCTGAAACGAAATCTTGGCACCTGATTTGGAGCCACTCAGGCTGGGATGCTGCAAAAAGGCCAGGGGTCCAGGGATTGGTGGCAAAAGCTAGCAGGGTCAGTTCATCTGCAGGGTTCAACCGTCTGGGGGTGAGTATTTGAAGCAGGGCATTGGTGCACCGGTGAGCTTGCTGACCAGTGGAAAACTAAAGACCTAGACCTATCCCTTTTGGGGACCGCGGGGTTGTCCCGAGCAGAGATCAATTCACTTGGTAGCCGACTTCCGCTCCCAAAAACTTGCTGACTAGCTGCTAGCTGATGCTACAGCTAGCTTTGGAGACATGCGGATGCGGGCTCCAACCCGTGAAGCAAGGTCTTCACATGACCCCGGTCCTTGTGTGTCAACCTCATGTTAGGTCCTTGCGGCACATGTTTCATTGCCCAATTGAACATTACACGGTCACACATGAAAATGACTGAAGAGGCCTTAATCACCTGGTCATCGTGCTTGTACAACCCTCAGTACAACCCTCAAGAAAGCCGACCCGCGGCGGGTCGGCTCAAACGACGGCTTTTCAAGCGACGTCTAACGTCTTCACTCCTCGACGCACCCCGAGAAAGGCACCTCTCTCGCCACAGAAAAACATGCAGGCAGAAAGTGAATCCTCTAAGGCACTTATGCAGAAAGTCGTCCCAATCGCTGGTGCTTGGATCACCTCAGTGATTGAGAATGGACTATTTCTGTGGCATTCTGATCCCAAAAGCCTGTGACGCTAAAACACAGAAACCTTCAACTGAAAACGGTCTTTGAAGGACTGGGACTCTGGGACCCCTGAAATTGATCTCGTTGAGTCCCAAACGTTGTGCAAAAGGAACGGGGCATTGGCAATTGGTTTGTCTGCTTGGGACTTGTCTTGTCCATGTTGCTTGTCGAAGACTGCAGCTGCTGGGCGGGATTGTGGTTACCTCTTGAACGGAAATGAGTTTGTTAGGTATTTGAACCAAACTCGCCGGTGTTTTGGCAGCTCTAAATTTCATGGGTTTCGTCGTGACCGAGCTGCCATACTCTCCCATCCAGCTGGCGCCAGCCAGCAAAATGCTGAAGCGCTTCATGTCCTGGGCGAGTGGCTTGCAGCTCATCTAACTGGCCTGCACTCTGCAATCTGTCGCAGTTTTCCAGTCCAGGTGTTTTTCTCTTCCGGGAGGGTTAGGTTACTGGTTGCAATCCCTCTTTGAAATCTCAATTCAGTATTGACAGGCTTTCTATGGTTTGCATCTTCTTTTACTCTTGCAAATAGTTTGGAGTGTCCACCAGTTTTTCCCAAACCTACTGGTGTGGGCAGTTAGCAGTATCGACCAACAAATGATCAACTATCAGCTCTTGGTATGGTAGGCCGGGCTTTAGCTCTCACCCAGTCAAAACCAAGGCTCCAGCAAAGGCACTTGGCAAACCACTGCACCCAACAATTCCCGCTTCTCCCGCGTCAGCCTCATCAAACTGAATCGTCAGCGCAAAGCGCATTAAAAAAAGGGGCGGTCAAACACCTGGGGAGCACTGAAGCACATTCAGATTCTTTGCAACAAGTTCTTTCTTTCACACCATTCATGAAGACCACCCCCCATCCAAACTATATATATATGATATATTGTCATTGATTGTAATTGTATGTAAATATATAATTGTCGATATCTGCAACCTCTAACTCCAAATACCTCGAGGTCTTACATGTCACATCATGTTTCAGTAGCCTCTCTAGTACGTAGGTTCTTTTTTCCAACCCAGGGCTGAAACAACTGTGTGCTTTGAAAAGGGTTTGGAGCTATTGAGAAACTCTCACAATCCAAAGCGGAGACGCACGCAAACCAAAAACACTGAGGGCGAAGAATAGAACGCACCACAACCCAATCCACCCATTGCTTTATTCCAAGCAACATGTTTCCGACCAGCAGACCGCCATTGGAGCCGCCCTGGACCGCCAGCAACGAGCGGCTGGTCACTTGGCGTTTCAGCAAATCTTCTGCGACCTTGGTGCGAAGAAGGGCTGCTCCTGGTCAAGACCAAGGTGGTTCCAATGATTTCTTGGAAGAAGCCCTCCTCCTCTTCACCAGTTGATCCTGGTGGCTAAATACTTGGGGGAGATATTCCAATTTCCTGACTAATCATGCCCCAATCCGTCCAGCTTGGGCTCCCCAGTCCCAAAACACGCACTGCATGATCCTGACACAGTCTTGGTTCCGCTTCCATCGTTCGATCATGACTCGGAGCGTTTTGGCTATATACTTGTTCAATCGGTCTTCCCTTTCCAGGGCATTGCAGGTCAAGCACCAGCTACTGCCAGAACAAAAAAGGACTGTAACAAGGAGCGACCTTTCCAACAGCAAAACCGATGATTTACGTTGTCCTCTGGACCACACGGTTGCGGCCAACTGCAAAGGTCCGGTCATTCGGGGGACGGCGTCAGCGCCCCCTTGAGGCAGAATGACAAACCCACAGGGGCAAATAGAAGCAGCCGCTCAAAACCTGAGTCTGCTATTTGCTGCTAGAACCTGTTTCCATCAACCCTGACGGCTGTGGCCCGAGGCGAGAAATGGAGTTCCACCTGTTCATCAGCAAATGAATTAGTTAGAGTTAGAGCACTGGAACAAATCAGTTATGTAAGAACAGGACATCCACGCTTGGCAAAAAAGAACCTCCAGTGATCTACAGGATTTCTGCAGGACTCAGTATCTCTCCATCTCTGATAGAACAGCATCGCGCCAAAAAAAAAAACATAACCAGAAGTGTAAACCCTTGTGCACTTGCCAATCATTGCAGGGTCCTCAGCATGGGTGAGTTATCCATTACGGCATGGCAAAGGGATAGCACCTGAATGTGCCAAAACATGCCAAAACCAAAATGGCATCGAATGGCCACAAAAAGGACACACAAGTGACCAATATAGCCACTCTCAACCAAACTTTGACTTCGAAAAGTTCATGTTGAAGAATGTTAAACTATATATACAAAGCTGGCTTTCGATCCCTGTTGAAACCAGTCACATGTCCATCTGTTTTGTGGTTGCTGCTCTAAGTCCCTCTTCATGTCAGGTAAGCGGCCGCTTCGAAATCCTCATAGGCTTTGTTGCCTCATGACACAGCTCCACTCGAACATGTCACCCAACCTGCATGACTCCATGACCCGACAAGACTCCAACTGGGTCCTCATCTGGTTGACAGCACATTGCTCTCCTCATCTGGTCGACAGCGACCAAGCTTTTCACTGACCAACATCCACCCAAAAGGATCCAAAAGGGACCATGACAAAACTTTCTGCTGTGCGAACCACCGGAGCTTATGATGGAGGAGTCAGCAGGGCCTAAAGCGACACCCATTTGCAATCTCTGGAACTTACACCCAACCGTTACTAGATGGTGCAGCTCTTCATTTTGGTCAAGTTAGCTGATTCCACAAGGGTGGGGGATTCAAATCATTCGGGGCAAAAAATAGACTGAGTCGAAGCAGTTCAATAACTATGGCTGATGGACAACATCCTGCACCACCAAAGAGATCACAAAAGCGGGGATTGTCTTGGTTCCTAGGTAGCGAGGGTTTGTGCATCAACAACGGATTTCTCGTACTCTGGGAGAAAAGTCTGAGCTACGGTCACAACGCGGTCGTTCGAGAGGCAAAAAATGGTTTTCACTGCCATTCAATATTTTCACTGCCATTCAATATGCTGCAATCGGATGCAGTCGGTATAATAAAGCCAGGCTATCATCACCTATGAATATACTGTCTGATCCCTAGTTACAGTGACCTAATTACCAGAGAGTTGCCATTGCTCACACTAGTAACTAGTATAGAATGAGACCACTCCAGTCTGACACACCTAGAAAGTTCCTAAAGATCCATCCAACCGTCCTTCAGCTTTCCTTAAGGCGCATCAAGTGTGGAGTACAAAGTGCAGCCGCTTGTCGGCTCAGTGGCAGCGAATTCTTGGAAACGCTCAGGGTGAGCCCAAAAGCAAAGCACGGCTTGGGCACCCCCCACCTACATTTCGCCAAAGACCCCTCACAGAAAAAGGTTCTTGGGCACAAGAATTGTTTATTGGATTGGGAGGTCAATAATTATAGCAGTGATAACCTCATGTAAGACCAATACTAATTTTGGACAGAAAACTTAACTTAACACATTCAATATTGCTTTCCCAATATCTTTTTGATTGTATCTTTCTGTCGGTTGTTTGGTTTCCCATTTGCCATTAAACTTACTGTAATGGCTATCATAAATTTAACGGTTCATTTCTGTCGGTTCCTTAATGTCGGTTCTCTGGTTCCCTGCCCCCAATGGAGGGGTCTCTTGTGGAGCGTCGATCTGTAGGTCGGGGAACAGCCCAAGATGGGAGTTGAGAAATCAGTTGCCAACTCCGCAGTTCAGGGTCATTAGCCCTTGATGCCCCGCAGGCCATGCTGGGCCTAGGGTAAAATTGTCGGCGCGGTCAGGTAGCGTGTAGCATGGCCCGTGATCCAATCACTGATGTCTTGGTTCACTCCACCGTTTGTAGCCTGAACTCACGCAGCAAAGCACATAGACTGCACTTTCGGAAGGACATGATTTGCGATGGTTACTGCAGGATAAAGAGGCGCTACAAGGAAAACAGTTTTGGCAATGTCACACACTTTACATGGCACCAAGCTACGGTTCACTGCAGTGGGAAACTTGAGGCTGTCCACAAATGCATCTGAGAGCTGACAAAAACTGACAAAACCGACCACCAGAACAGGCGGGGAATCAGAAACACCAGACTGGGACACCGAACTGGCGAACGACTAAGAACTCAAGCACCCACGCAACTCCCCACGTAAAGAATTACTCTACAGCACCCACTTCCAAGGTAAAAGCACCGGTCCGATCAACAAAAACTAAGTTCCTTTCAGTTCAGATCCCTTAGCCTTTTGCGCTGATGATTGATGATTATTGAAGTATATTGAAGTCCTCACTACTCTAAAGTCTAGTGTCCGATCTTCTTTTTTCTCACTGGCCATGTGAACCACCCTGAACCATGAGAGGTCAACGGCGTTGCACTTTTGAGAGGGCAGGGTGTAGTGGGGGCTCTTGCCACAGTGCCCAGCAGCCTTGAGATCACACCGCTTGCTGATGACCTGGAAATTCCAATGGAAGCATTTCTCGTCGTTCTCACAGGCCGTCGCGCAGGCTACAGCGTTGGTGACGCCCGGCACCCCATTGATGTAGTCGCCATAGAGCCAGGCGCCCTTCTGGCCAATGAGGTTGGCATCGGCCAAACCTGAGGGGTTTGGTTCGGCTCCGACAGTGGCTTTCTTCGGCCAATCAGTGCTTTCTTCGGTGAGGTGATTCCAACCCAAAGCCACAGAACAACAGCAAACCAGTTTGGGGAAGCTGCAGTTGGGGAAGCTGCAGAGGTCTACCCCTGCGGGATTTGTCAGCCAAATTTAACTGCCGGCTGGCAATCATGGTGATCTTCCGTTGCGGCATGTGCTCTGCATTGTTTCCCGTTCTATTTGGAATTGCTTTGGGAGGAGCATGCAAAGCTGAAATGGCATCTGTTTGTTTGGCAATTTGGTCTTCCATAGCTGCAAAGGGCTGTGAACAGGCAAGACAGTTCTTTGCAGCTAACTTCCAAACAATATAGGCTTAGCAAGCATTTACTTGGACCACCTGTGGTGTTGCGGGTGTCACTCTGGTTGACCAACCAAGCGGTTCAAAGCATGCCTCTAGAATTTACAACACAGTGAACACTTTGTTCAACAAGTGTGGGAGCTTTTGGGACATGACAGGCGTATACTCTTCCTATGCTTCCCTAAACTAACACGGTCCGGCATGGAACAATCATCAGGTTTTCAGTGTTTTTCCGATTTTGTTGATTTGATGTTTTTTTTCTCTCTCTCTCTCTCTATCTCTCTCTTTCTCACCCTCCGAGCACCAGCTAAACGGTGCCTTTACACCTGCCGATTGATGATCGAACAGTGATGGATCCAATTTAGCTCTCCAAGTAGCTCTCCAAGTGTGCTTCGCGGTAGAACCTCACGGTGGCCAAAGTGACGGCCAAAGGAACACATCTGAAACCGTTGCCGCTGGTGAAGCCGTGTTTGCCCAAACAAATAAATCAAGCTGCAAATCCCATCTGCATATATATATATATATGTATGGTCTTTTGGGCGCTTCTAGAAGCCAGGATGAGCTGAGTAAAGCCACCAAACCACTTGGTGTATGTATGCACATGGATCAGCATGTTCCCAACACACCTCTGCCTGCTCACCCGGCTTCCTGGATTCTCAGTCCAACATGGCCCAAGGCACGCGATCAAATCGTCGCCCTCCAAATGTTCGGGAGCCTGCGTCAGGGTAAAGAACATGGCCGTCCAAAGTGGTTTGGCTGTCAAGGTTTCCAATGAAACACTGATGGTTTAGAGTTAAGAGATCGGCCTGGAGCCTCACTCTGGATTTTGTTCTAAAGGTGTTTTTTGTTAATCATTTGGTTATCTTTTTGTTAGGGTTTGTGTACATCGTTTATTTAAATTGTTTTTGTCATTTATTTATGGTTTGTTCCTGCTGCCTGGCATACTGAATACAGAAAAAAATAAATGCAAGAGCGGAGAAGAAATGATAAAAACCATTATGCCGCCAAACGATACAACAACGATACAAAACCTATTTTCACTGCTCCAGTCTTGTGGCTGTGAAGATCTCATAAGTTTAGAGTGTAGAGAACCCCCGATTTCCCAATGTTCATAAGTAAGTTGAACATCAACCGATGAGCACGGAATGAATCACAGGTGTTCGCACCATGATCATAGTAAGATCATAGTTACATGTTAGCAGTTAGCCCCTCCAATCTTCTAAGTAGAATCAAGGATCGATGTCACCCACCCACACCCGCCTGCGGAACCTCAACATCTTCAACTGGTGCTTGAGGTGCTGGTGCTGCAGGAGCAGGAGCCACTGGTGCCGCTGGGGCGACAGGAGCCACTGGTGCCGCTGGGGCAACAGGAGCCACTGGTGCCGCTGGGGCGACAGGGGCAACAGGTGCGGGAGCCGCAGGCACAGGGGCGACAGGTGCAGCCGGCACAATGGGCGCCGCCGGGGTCTCTGCGGGGGCCGCAGGCTGCTCCTGTGCTGATTAAGATGCCCGGAATAGCAGCACGATGTCATCGCCCACCCAGTACACAGAGAGATTGAGAGAATGAACAAATATTCTGGCCGGTTCCTGTCAATCAGGCTCTACGTAAGTGGACTCTATGAGGCCCAAGCTTCTGAGATCTTCTGAGACATGCTACTACGCTCCACCCTGCCTCCGGTTCGGCCTCCGGTTCGGCTTCCGCCGGCGCTGCCACCGGGCTCTCCGGCGCGGCGTCTGGTGCCGCGGCCTCGGGCGCGGCGTCCTGCGACGCGGCGAGGACAAGGAAGGCGAGCGTGGCGAGGAGGCGAGCCATGACGCGGTAGCGGTGGATGACGAGGTGGAGCGGGGCTGAAATGGCTGCGGTGCGGACGTGACGAGAAGAGAAACGAACGAGAAGGGTCTCGGCAAAGAGCCAGCAAAAATGATAGGTGCTAGTTTGCTTTTGAATGAGTGTTGATCAATGCCTTAAAACCGAACTGTTAATCAAGGTCTCAATTGTTGTATGTATACAAACATTTTAACATATTGTACCCGCCAAGTCCGACGGGAAACTGCAAGTCACCTTGTGAGTATAAATGAGCCTGTAAGTAAGCTAATAAGTTTCCCTGGAAGAAATCCTCACTTGATGTCATGCTGGAATCTGGGCAGAATTATGAGTCGTCACAACGTCTTGACATGTCTTAACTTGCCGTGCCACTGGAGGCCCTCTCTACTTCCACACGCGCACACACTCTGACATTGGTTTTCAGTTAACTCAGTTCCCACGTTGGGAAGGAAGGTGAGGGAACGGAAAGGCGAATGGGTCCGGTGATTAGAAATGTTAAAACATTGTTTCACTCGCTCTGCTGGCTGCACTTCACAAGCGGCTGAAAGCTGCGGTGGGAAACCTGTTTGTGGGGAAGGTATCGTGGAACAACCATGAAAGCAAAGAAAAGAGATTGGAACGGCTTGGTCAAAAGTTCAAAACTGTCGCAGGTACGTGAGTCGAGCGTCCTCGACTCATATCACAGGAATCGTGCAGCGTCTTCGTTGGTCGCTGACTGCACGAATCCCCAGCGAACCCCTGCCTTATGGAGTAGTGGTGGTGGAAACAGTGGCATTGAACCCTTTGGTACAGGGGGTGACACACACACTGTGCCGCTTCGCGGCGCTCGTGTGAAACACCTCAATAGTCACCTAAAAAGCCTTAGAAACAAAAGAAAAGAAAGACAAAAAGAGCAGCGCTAAGAGGGCAAGAAGGAAAGGTAGGTGTAGAAAAAGTGAATACTTAGCCCTTGACTGGGGAAGGGAAACGAGCCTCAAGAGCAACCTAAAAAGCCCAACAAACGACGAAAAGCGCAAGAAGGAAAGCGGGGGGCAGGGAGGGGGTGTATGTTCATGTGTGTGTCTGAATACCTAGCACTCTAGAGTTACTGATTACTTAGCAGAAATGAATTAAATGCAATAGTTAGGGAGCGGGACTTTAGTCTTAGACCGCCCGGGTAGGATAGACTAGAACAGGGACAACAAAGGGAAAGGCACCGACACACAATAATTAGGTCGGGATAAGAACGCGGTGGGGGAGGGGGGTTGGGAGACCTGCCTGAAGGGGGATGAATGCCGTTTTAAAGCCCGGCGGCTTGTCAAATCCCGTTTTTTGGCCCGGCGGCCGTGGAAGCAGTAAATTCAGTTAAGGTTGATCAAGTGGTGAATTCCTGTGTGAAAGGTGGAAAAGGTCAGTTACACGATTTCCGGCATGAATGCAGCGCCCCAGTGACGGGGATCACACTCACCACCCGAGTGGGACGGCTGAGCGGCTCACACTCTGACATTGGTTTTCAGTTAACTCAGTTCCCACGTTGGGAAGGAAGGTGAGGGACCGGAAAGGCGAATGGGTCCGGTGATTTGAAATGTTAAAACATTGTTTCACTCGCTCTGCTGGCTGCACTTCAGAAGCGGCTGAAAGCTGCGGTGGGAAACCTGTTTGTGGGGAAGGTGTCGTGGAACAACCATGAAAGCAAAGAAAAGAGATTGGAACGGCTTGGTCAAAAGTTCAAAACTGTCGCAGGTACGTGAGTCGAGCGTCCTCGACTCATATCACAGGAATCGTGCAGCGTCTTCGTTGGTCGCTGACTGCACGAATCCCCAGCGACCCCCTGCCTTATGGAGTAGTGGTGGTGGAAACAGTGGCATTGAACCCTTTGGTACAGGGGGTGACACACACACAAAAAACTGTCTTTCTTGTCAAGAACTCAGACATGTCACCGTCTTACAATCTTACACCAAACATTTTGGATTCTGGGGGATAGCATGGAGCCAAACCCCATTCACATCCCCCGCATCGTGCGCTGCATTTCTAGAGTCTACAGCCTATAGAGAGTTATCTGAAGAATAAGTTTAATCCTTTTTCTCGTTTTAGAAACCTCCCAGCCGAGTGGCGGTTCGCCTTCTTGGCTGCCTGGTGCCACCGGGGTCCATATTCCCCGCCCCCGCGGATGTTGGCGTCGATCCACACGCCGCCGTGCTCCAGCCACGCGATCCCGCGAGCGCCCGAGTAGACTGGGGTGAGAGAAATCTCGAAGCCACCGTAGCCATAGAGCCTCAAACGCAGGCACCCAAACTTAGCCAAAGCGTCAGCGTTGCAGAAACAGGTTATGTTTGTTTGATTTTTTTCCCATGTGAGCCTCGAAGTTTCTGAGAAACTTTGGGATTGGGATTTCATGAGCTGAAGATGTCACCCAGGGTTTCACCCCTTGGGTTCTTTCTGAAGATCCCAAAGCGATCCGTTTAAAACCCAAGGCACTTTGCCAAAGATGCCGTGGTGCACATCAAATCAACAAAGATCAACAAAGGGTGGATTTGCCATAGCCCCTTTCAGGCTTCTTGGCTCAAATCTAACAAACCTCAAGCGGTTTACATTAAGTTCAGCCAGAAGAAGTTCTTGGCGTTTGTGGTGAAAATGCTCAAGGGCTTTAACTATCCAAGGGTTGGGAAAACTCAAGGACTTCTTGTCACATACAAAGCCGCAACCGTAATTTGCTTGACCAAATGTACAACAATAAAATCATATAAAATCAATCAGTTTGCACTTGTAATCTATAAATGCAACCTCGTGGTTGCTGTTTTTTGGGGGTTGGTAGTGCAATATACAAGTACAATCTTTTTATTTACAATGGGTCTGTGAACCACAGAAACATCCGCAACCAACACATACATCCGCTGAAAAATACGTCCAGGGAAAAAAACGCCTGTGGCTCACCAACAAACGCTGTTAGCTTATGTATCAACGCCCGTGGAATATTAAAAACAGAAATATCGGCAAACTCAAATAAATATAAGGCTGTGACTCCAAAAGATGTTGTTCACGCTGCAGATCGAAAAC